TATATTTATTATTATGTCTCATTTTCTAATACAAACTAATATAACATTATGCGATAAAAAAAACCTTTATTTTGTATGACATACAAGATATTCCTTCATAAATCGAACGTTGAACAAAATAATGCTTTTTTCTGTTTATTTTCTCTGTATTATTAAAGGAAAGAATATCTTAAGTTCTCAAAATTAACACTCAGCTTATGCGATCAGATATTTTCTCGAAAGACACCTTCAATCCGATTCAAATAGATCCTATCTTATCGAATTACTACTGGTAGTGAGTCGGTAATTTGATTTCACAGCAAATTGAGAGCCCTCTGGTGTAAATCATATTTTCTGAGGGCTTTATCTTTTAGCTAGAGGATAATGGTACTCGAAGAAAATTGGGTAACAGAGACGAATTACAATAGAAGATGTGCTCTTAGTAAATGGTTTCTACCAACAACCATTCCATTGTGGTTCTGCTGACTATCGCTGGATCTATTATTCTAACCTTTTCATTATATTAGAGTACTTTTTGGTAGCGTATACTGTAATAATATTTGCTATTAATATCGTCTATATGAGCAGGAAAACATGGTTACGTCGGGTGTGTGAGTGGTTAAAGTGGAGTGAATGTGTTATCCAGTTTTGCCTACATACATTAGTAATATTGCATTATGTTCGTAACCCGTTTTAGGACGGAGAAGAGTGGTAGTAGACTGATAGTAAATAAAATATGTTGTTTTAGATTCCTCAAGTAATAAAATTAACTAAAAATAGTGCATTAGTAAAATAAACATACTTTTTTTAAATATTATGTTTTCGGCTTACTTACATGACTGTTGCCGCGCGACACGCGCATGTCGCGGAATGCTGCTCATGAATATGAGCTTCTAGCATGGCTTGAAACTAGTCGAGATCCTCGTCAATCAGTTACGTGAGTAAGCCGGAAACATAATAATTATATGTCTCACGAAAGTTTTAATATTACTTTTTTATTTGAATTTCTATCTTCATTAGGAAAATATAGCACTTATGTTAACATTAATTTGTCTTTCTTCAAGTAAAATAGTCACATATTGTGCCCTTGAAGTAGCTTTCAAAATATTAAAAGAAATAGTATCAAGATATTTCAGCTAAATAAATATTTATTCAAAACTAATGAACAAAAACTTTTCAAAAGAAGTCCTTTATACACAGTTCGTTTCCTAAAACGTGTTCATTCAAGTAATAAGGCTTCGCGAAGAGAAAAGGCCAGATATTATCTAATTACGTACGTCTACGAACCTTCCAATTTCGTCAACTCGAAAGTTATTTTGAGCGACTCAAGTTCGAATTGGATTAAATTGTAAGCGCCTAACACTTATTAGATTAGCGCCGTATAAAATGCATATTCAGTGGTCCATGTACCTCTAAGTAGGTAGTATTCCGTGTTTTTGAATACAGACGTGCCCGATGTGTGTTGCTGATCGCTGCTACACCAATACCTATGATCGTAATGTGTCCGAAGTTTTTTTTTTCTTAAGGGGGGAAAATCATCGAATGACTGCTCCCGCCTGGGTGAGGCGGGAGGGAGTGTCAGACTCTTACTGACTAAAAACCACCCCGTTCCTTATCCTGCACGTCGAGCCGGAGCCCCGGTTACCCGTTAGGTTCTCCGCGACAATGTGTCCGATGTTATGTGGCGAATAATATTAACTTTATCGTTAAACGTCTTCGATTGTCGCATAACACATGCTACACCGCTGTAAATGAAACCACAGCCTCGTAAAATAAGCAACATTTGAATAATGATAAACATTTATTTTTTCCTTTTTCTCATTCTTCGTATCGGAATGGCCTCTGAAATTTATAGCCCTTATTTCTTGCAAAGTATTACGACTTGATTTATGTGTGTTTTTTCTCGACAATATTTGATAATATTGTTGTTGGACACTTTGGATATTCAGAATGTAGACGGCTATCGTGATTTATGACTTATGTTCTGTGTTGTAATTCAAATATTCAGGTTTTCGTAAAATACCTGAAAAAAGTCTTTTATTTGGTTAACTTACCAGCCCTATTTCGCATTCACAAGAATTATTTTTCCCATATTTATAATCCAATAAGCTCAATATTTGCATAACTCACCTTCGCAATTGTTTTTTGCTGAGTATTACCGCCATCAGTGCTAAATTAGCAGACATTCCTAGACTGGAGAGTGCTAGTAGAGCGGCAGCGCTCGCAGCACCACCTGGCGGGCAGTGCCGCGTGTTATTGACCACTGAAGAATTAGTAGCCCCTGCTGAACCGAAGCGAAGGTTCGCTCCGATCATGGCCACGGCGGACCCTGCTTGAGGAATGACCCCTATGAGAAAATTACGAAAACAATTTCAACAAGAACATAGAAATAGGCGTATAGTTACCTATTGTTATTTTGCTATTAGTTTCTTGATCTGAAAGACGAAATTAAAAACATCAAGTCAACATTGCAAATAACAGTAAAAAGTAAACAAGACAAGTATAATCGATGTCATTTGATATATTTCCAAACCAATGACAAAGATTATTTGAAAAAATAAAATTAATAATTTAGAAATTTTTGTTTTGTTCGATAAGACATAAGAAGCCAATTACTATTCCAATCATTCCACAACATTTAAGACAACATTTACGTATCACAACATCCATAGAATTACCTGCTGACATTTTGGCGTTTGGACGTCCGCTCTTAATGAAACTTTACTATCGAATGCAATGAATCACTGTGACAGCCAATCAGAACGCCCCCCGCCCCCCCACCGGCCCATTGCATTTTTGCACCAATAACGTTGCTACTCACTAACATTACAATCAGACTTAAGTCCTTTGTTTATTACACTGTATCGTTTGTCTCACGAATTTAACACTGGTTTGATGTCCCAACTGATTGCAGGCTTTTGTTGATTCTACTTTTGTGCACTTTTGTACAGTCCCACTAACTTGTTTTTAAATCTGTGGAAAGAAAAGCAGTTATAATTTACAGAAAACAAACAAACAATTGAAAAGCTTATACGAAAATATTCAGCTACGAAACTAACTATCATAAGTTACTGCTAGTAATAAATTCTGCAGAACAAAACATTTGGATTGCAAAGATTAATGATGCAGACAGGATTGTAAAGTCTAATTTAGCAGTACAAACTCGACTCAGGCTACGTGTGGCTTAGTACTCCATATCAAGCAAACTCCATGTTTATGCAATCAACTCAATACTGGCTATGGAAAGTGGTACAACGCGTGTCAGAATTTAAGCCGACGACATGTCAAACGCTGCACTAATGAATAGTTCACAAGGAAATTACGGACAGTACAGCAAACAAAACCAGAAATGCCACTCAGGATAGCATTTAATCAGATCAGTGGAAGCGAATCTATACCGTATTGCTGAAGTGGTAGCGGCTATTTTCGAAAGACTACTGGGTGAGCCTTCTGATGCGTATCTGTGATGTAATCATCGAGTGTCTATTATAATTGAGTTGCAGTCACTACTCAATCCCTTTACGTAGTACGTCCAGTCAACCTCTGCTTCCCTAGTAACTCGGTTGAACAATATAGTGACAGATTACGGCAATGGTTTCGAGGACAATTTAGGCGGATAATAGTTATTTAGTTCACTACACATTGTTAATTGGGGCACAGAAGTGCAAACTAAGTAATATAATAAAGCGGTAAGTTCATTTGTTTTTTTTTATTTAAAGCTAAGAGTTTTCTGAAATAAGGAGAACAGTTTTACATTTCAGTTGAAGTTCAGGTCAATTCTTAGACACAAAGAACAAAACAAAATCAATTCGAAAGAGAGTGCAGTTGTAGATGGAACCTCATTACATATAGTTAAAGTAATATTTTTATGGTATTATTTATTCAACATTTTGGTCTTCTTAACAGATGTTAAGTTAAGATTAACATCACGCCTTTTTATCCCCGAAGGGCTAGGCAGAGGTGCCCATTACGGCGTTTAATGCCACTGTAATAATAACACCGACTTTTAACTATTTATATTATGAGTCTCATGTAATAGGGGGTAAGCCTATTGCCATTTACCAAGCACAATTCCAAACTTCGTGCTAGTACTGAGAATTATTAAAAAACCCAGTAATACTTTGCCTGCCCCGGGAATCGAACCCGAGACCCCCAGTAGTCGCACTTGCGACCGCTCGGCTAACGAGGCGGTCAATCATTTTGGTATTTTTTTATACAAGTAGACACTTATTTTTATTTTATTTATTTATTTAAGATTTATGCAATTGCATAAGGAAGACTTAATGCTAACAGCATTCTCTGCCAGTCATCCTTTGGGTAGTGCAGAAATGTATGTGGTAGGTGGTAAGCTGCAAAAATTATATGAGAGATAGTGGTAATTATCCAAATTAATAAAAAGGTATCAAAAGCATACATAAAATACGTAAGTATAATCGTATAGATATATATAATTATATATAATATAAATATCATTATACATATAAATATATAATCATTATCATTATACATTATAATGTTCGCATTTTTAATTGGAGTAACTTTTACAATGGCTTTAAGCCATCATAAATGGGTCGAGATTATCCGTAAGCTATACAATAACTTTTCTTCTAACTTTTGGGTCAATATTTTAAAGCACATTCAAATATTGAGTACAAAAGAGTATCTATTAAAAAATTCAAAATCCGTCTCCTAAATAAGAAAAATAATATAAAGCAATGAAGAATAACTTAGGTACAAAAATGAAAAAAGGTCAATAAAAACTTTGTAGTATGAAAAAGGGTGTAAAAACAGCTTATAAAATGCCTTGCTGCTGTGTAAAGCCTCTCTTCACTCGGAGAAAGTCTGAGCATTAATTACCACGCTTGCTCAATGCAGGTTGGCAAATGTGAGTCCATGCAATTTATAATAAAACTGTGGGATTTTTTATATTTTATAAGTATTGGGTTATTCAGTAACCTCAAATATGTAAATAAGTGTCGTGGTGGCCCGGAGGTTGAAGATGCCTGCTTCTCATGCACGACGACAAGTACCAATGTGACTTTTTCCGAGACTTTCTAAGATTATTTAGTCACCACTGACAAACGGTGAAGGAAAACATCGTGAGGAAACCTGGGCTTATAGTTTCTAATTATAAGTTTGAAATCGCCAACCCGCATTGAGCAAGCGTGGTGATTAATGCTCTAACCTTCTTCATGTGAGAAGAGGCTTTGCTCAGCAGTGTGCATTTATAAGCTGTTGATGATGATGAAAAAGGAGTTGAAATTTAAAATGTTAGATAAAATGGCACTAGATTATTAAGGGAACCATAAGTGAAATGGTATGAGGGCTACCGTATTATTGGTCTTCAAGTAGCCCAAATGTAGAAAGAGGTTTATTAGTCCAATCACTGCAGCTGTCAAATATAGACGTCCAATGGTGTGACACTAGCTTATTCCCTATTGGACGAAAAACGAGAGGGTTCACACTAACGCCATCTGCTGGGCAAAAATACAGTGGCTTCCATTATCACAGAAATTTTGAGACATTATAAGTGTAAAGTCTGCCTCGTTAGACGAGTGGTCGCAAGTGCAACTGCCGTGCAAGGGGTCTCGGGATCGATTCCCGGGTCGAGCAAAGTTTTACTGATTTTTTCAAAAAAATCTCAGTAGTAGCACGGAGTCTGGAAATGTGTATATGGCAATTGGCTCACCCCCTATTACATGGGACACATACCATAAAATCGTGAAAAGTGGGTGTTAAATTGTACAGTGGCGTAATGTAGAGGTACACCTCTGCATACCCCATCAGGGATAAAAGGCGTTAAGTTATGTTATAAGTTTAATGTCCACTGTATCATAAATTTTTCAACAACCAACACGTTTTTATTTTAAAAAACTTAAAGCAATTCTCATTCATTTCTATTAACCCACAATTAATCCTGTCAAATAAATTACTGCAAAAACGACACTATCATACATATTAATAGAACTCAACATAGATAGATGGGTTTGCATAAATTAGCCTAAATCAGCATACAGAAACAAACAGTAAAATGTTAGGTAACAATAGAAAGGCTTTGTGTTGATTTCAGGCTGAAATTCAGGAGAGACAATCTAATTCTGAATCTCCGTTTCAGCGGAGTGTTTAATCTAAGTACAATGTTAGCTATTACAGTACAATGAATGGTCCTTTCAGGTTTACTTTGCCCGTAGACTGGTTAATGGAAATTTTCAGTAGCTTGCAATATTTGTCGCTAAACGAATTTTCTGAGGGGTGAAAGAAATTTGAATATCTTTTAGTATTTAAAATGATAATAACTGTAAAAACGACTGCTGTAGAAACAACAAAGGTGTCAGAATTTAGATAATTCAGCTTCAATTTAGAGAATTTAGATAATACAGTTTTCGCTTCATTGCTATGATAGTTTCAACAATATTATTGTATAATCTCATATGACAGTGTTGGAGAGCCATACTTCGGCACGAATGGGCCGGCTCGACCGGAGTAATACCACGGCCTCACAGAAAACCGACGTGAAGCAATACTTGCGTTGTGTTTCGTCGTGTGAGTGAGGTTACCGTAGGCCCAATTACCATCCCCTTCCCCAATCTCGCCAATTCCTGAATCCCCAACGATCCTTAAACTCCTAATCCCCAAAAAGCCGGTAACGCACTTGTAACGCCTCTGGTGTTCCAGGTGTCCATGGGCGACGCCGATTGCTTACTTTCAGGTGATCCGTCTGCTCGTTTACCGGCTTATGCCATAAAAAAAATGACTTGCTCTATTCAGAGATCGACCTCGTGCCGTCATGCCATTTCGAGTCTCATGGTTATTATTTTCAAGTTAGCTGTCGTAAGCAAAAGTTTATAAAAATCTCTTTTATATGTTAGCAAGTTATCTTGAAAGGCATTCTTCTAGTCGCCACTTTCCCGACTTTATGACGCTCTTAGTGCCATACATTACGGTTACGACTAGGCTTTGAACAACGACTGTTTTATGAATACCCGCAAAATAAAGTCGTAAACAACGCTATGTTGGTAACTCCTTGCAGAGGTCAGATCATGATAAATTATTTATTTTGTTTACACATTAACATAAATTTTATTTTTATTAGTATTTTTTTTCAGTTTTAGTATCCAATTTAAGAGAGAAAGTTGGGCTTAATTATCAGACACTTAACCCAATTCTAAACTCCATGTTAGTACTAAGTTATGTGGACTGACTAATGGTGTAAAAAAATAAAATATGACTTCTACTTACTTAACTTGTGACCATTACTAGTGTTTACCGTTGTAATAATACGATTTTTTTAAGGGGGGAAATCATCGAATGACTCCTCCCGCCTGGGTGAGGTGGGAGCAATCATTCTATATCTATATATCTAGTCTACATATCTATACATCATAGATCTAGTCGTAATAATACGACTATATGAGTAACAAGACAATGCAATATTATATAAGATGATATAATACCTACTACATAGTAATTTGTATATCGAAATCGATTGAGAACGTTGCTTTGTATGTGTCTCACGCCCATATATTTGATCGCGTAGGATTTGGGGGCTTCCTATCCCTTTCAGTTTAAGGAAAATGATGAAATGCGAACGCGGGTGCTACATGCCTCTTATTTCCCGAGGGAGTAAACAGATATAAACTTAAAATCGACGTTTGTCAGTAGATAAAGCAGTAGGTAGGTAATTTTTAGTGGTAAGTAGGTACCTACTCATAGTTGGTGTGATTGTGTGATACGACCAGATGCATGAATTTGATGGAACCTAATGAATTAGGTGTCTAACCAAGGTTAAATACCTAAAGTCAAAACAAAGCGTGACAAAGCGTGATATTATTTTAAAAAATAAAGTCTTTTTTTTTGTACGAATTTTGTTTGTAATAACAGTATATTTGATCAAAACAAATTTGATCAAATATACTGTTATTATAAACAAAATTCGGTCATGTCATAAACTTCAAAGAGATATTTTCGTAATT